GCAGTTTTATAAGCACAACCTATTGATTGATATGCAAATAAGGTGGTCTGGTCTGGTCTCTCAGTCACTGACGAAAGCTAGTGGATACTAGCTGAAACGTCTGACGTTTTCAAAATCATATCCAGTTGCTTGAGTAACTGTTTTTTTTGGCGTATCGTATTACCTGGATGTCTAACTTTCATCGACGTGTCAAATACATTACCTTTAATAATGTGCAATTGTCTATCTACAGAAACAGGCATTCCTTCAGATAAAGTTGCTGACCAAGTAGGTTGTTGAATTAGTTATCATAGATGTCTCAGTCATAAGGCTCATTAATGTTCAATATGTTAAATGTTCACCCCAAGTTTAATCCATTATTTTTATCAACACAAAGTACATGCAATGTGAACGTGAGCTTGCTTGACTGTGTTTGATCAATCGTGCCAGGAAAAGGGTGCGTGAATTTGCCAATGCATGAGTGAACAACTGCAAATGCGTGGAATTACATTCTTTACATCACACCATTGTGTGCGGCGGAACTGCAACATAAGCTGGTTATAACACAAATACAGGGCTCAAAATTGCATATGCAGGGTAGTGCAGGTAGAACTGGAGCTGTGCAGGCATTTCCGATGTCTACCTGTACCTAACCTGTACTGGTCTGTGTACTGGGTTTATGTACAAATGTAGGTATACAATGTACGTCAGTCGTTACTTGCTGCATTGACTTTTACCACCATTGACTTACAAAAGAAATAATGGCAATGGTTTCTGAACATTTTTAGTATAATCCATACTTCCTAAATTCCGACTGGTGCAGGTAAAATTTGTCTGGTGCAGGTGATTTTCAATGTTACCTGTACCAGTGCAATTATGCAGAAAAAAATATTTCCAGCCCTGAAATGCACGTCACAACACCAAGACATGCCGTCGCTGCCAATCAGGCTTGAAGCATCTAAGTACAGTTCCTTACTTTGTCGGCAGCATATTTCTCCCTCTTCCTCTTCCTGTCCTTGGCTTTGATGGCCTCTTCCTGAAGCCGCTTCTCCTCCTGACGCTGACGCACTGAAACAAGGAAAGCGGAAAATAATACGGCCTTCTCCGGGAGATCAAACTTTGGGAACATCAAAGCAAAAATGCGCATCATTGAATGGATGAATGGATGGATGAAGACCTTTGTTTTACCTACATGTATATGCCCACTGGGTAAAGAACAGGTCACAAGAAACAATTATAGCTTACAGACAAATGTATACATAGCTCAAGTACTAGAGACTAGCAAGTGAATCATCCACACTAAAGAAATACATCTAAATTAATCACCCAATATAATTCACTCCTGCATTTCTTAACTGTGCATACTCTAACTGTTGCCGCACTAGAGATCTCTAAAACACACTGTTTTTCAAAGTGGCACATACACGTAACCCAGCAGATAAATGGTAACACTTATTGACCACGGTGGTACCAGTAAACTCACATTTCTTCTCCAGTTCATCATCGTCCAGAAGCAGGGAGACAACCTCCTTAGGTTTCAGGGTGTCGGGAGAGAACTTCCCTCCACTGATCACCATTCTCTGAATCTGAAAATGAGACCAGAAAATTATAAACTTTGCATCGCACTACGGTTGCCTGAGTAACTCTTAAACATCTCTTTCTTGCACTTGCAGTACAACAAACTAGTAGTAGGCCACCCAAGATACGGAGATAAGTGGCCTTCTTGAGGAGGTGCCGTAAAGCTCGTGCCTTTATTTTGGAACTGTGAAACAGCGGAAATTATGTCAGGTAGCTGGCTTGAAGACGTGGTTGCTTGGGCAGGTTTTACTACATGAATTCTGAAGGACAACAGTGCAACAGAAGTCTAAGATGATAGACCAGCATTACCTCACTCTTCTCCCTGGCCCTCTGCAGGATCCTCTCCTCTATGGTGCCCTTACAGATGAGCCTGTACACCGTCACCTGCTTGGTCTGGCCCAGGCGATGGGCACGGTCCATGGCCTGCTGATCCACCGTCGGGTTCCAGTCACTGTCGTAGAAGATCACCTGAAGGAATTTGACATTTGTACATCATCAGGCTTTCCCCCAGAATCCTTAACTTTCTCCTTAGCCTTTTTTCATTCATTCCAGGGTGTTATCAATCCTACAGAGGAACCCCTCCCTTGACTGACTTCATTCTTGTCTTAGTCTAGTTCTTGGCCATGTAGGGCCCAGAACCTTAATTAGGTTGTCTCTCCATCTCATACATGTACAGGGCTGCCCTCTGCATCTCCTTCACTCACTAGGTGTCCAGTAGCCTACAAGATCGAAAGCTTACTATAGCCTTTTCATAAATCTGTTTGCCATTAAGAACATATAAGAACAATGACAAAGGACGATGTGGTGATTTAGAAGGAGTGAAAAACGTTACCGTATCAGCAGCAGTAAGGTTGATGCCCAGTCCGCCTGCTCTGGTGCTCAGTAAGAACACAAAGATGTCAGACCTGAAAAAAGGGATAAAGTTTAAAAAGTGTTGCTATGAGGCAAAATTCTTGTTCCCATATGTTTTTTTTTTAAGAAAACTCTAAGCATAATCTGCTAGAAATGTCACAGCACAGAACATCATAAGGGTTATTGGATAGAAGTAAAAATCAGAAGGATGACTGAAAAATCTGGAGAGTGATGCACACCTCTGTTGGAAGTCCTCCACCATGTCTCTTCTGTCTGAGATTTTAGACGAGCCGTCCAGCCTCATGTAGGTGTGCTTCCTGTGCCACATGAACTCCTGGGCAGTAAACAACATTTATATATCATGTATCATGCTATTGAACTGTAAAAATGTGTTGGACTCACAAGATTTCAGCACAAAATTGCAAAATAAAAGTTCGAAGTTGTAAAATAAAAAAGCAGTCTTGTTACAGCAACTAATAATTTTACTAGGATAAAAAGCCATCTGTGGGACTGAAAATTCGAGATGAGCAACAGTCTGATTGCGATGAACGAAACTGCCAACTTCCTTTTGAATTCTACTACAAGATGTTGATTAAATCGTTCGCTTCGGCGAGGCCAAAGTACAGTTCTGCCTAGTGTTCCAAGGTGTGCTGCACTGTTGCAATTGAAGACAGTCAAGGCCAAACTATGGTTTCAACCAAAAGCCAACAAAGCTCACACCTCTAGAATGTCGATCATGCGTGTCATCTGTGAGTAGATGAGGACCCTGTGTCCTTGCTGTTTCAGTCTGGTCAGCAGGATGTCCAGCGCATACAGCTTTCCGCTGTCTGTCACCAGGACTTCCTTGTCTGTAAAATATGGTCCATTGTAGTGAATATTATATCTAGATATCATATAACAAAAACTTGTGTTTTTGTATTGGCTAAGCTCAGAACTTTGAGATCGTAAAAAATAACACATTCATTTCTGAATCATTTCATTTTCACTACATATATTTTGATTAAATGTCAAATCAGCATCTAAACTGTATCTTGTGATTACTGATCAGCTTTCTGTACTATAACCAGAAAGGTTTTCTTCTTCTTCCCTTGCCAGTCATGTCAGAAAAATTGCTATCAGTATATATGGAGAAGTACAGAGAGTCTATTTTTTACCTTGCATTGAAATGTAACATGTATTGTGACCGAGAAATATAATTTGACAGCAAATCTACAACAAAGTGTACTTCACTTTATGGCCTGCATCTAGATATCCAAATTACAGCACATACTGAAGGCATTTCAACTCTTGAAAATGGCTTTATTGAAGCTTGGTGACCTTGTGTCAACTAGCACTCTGACTGAGGTGATGACTACATTTCAGCACCAATTGAATTAGCCCTCCATCAGGCAATTTCCCCCCATCAACTGCAGCTGCGATAAATGTGGCTTTGCACTTCCCGAAAATTGGAAGCACTGAGTGATAATGGCAGCGGTAGTGCCTATCTAGGAAGTGATAATCATGATGATCAGAGGCCTCATCCGGCTGTGATTGACTTTCTCTTGCAGACTGAGTAGCAACTTGGATGAGATTGAACCCAGGAGGTCTGACAATCAAAACGATGATGTTCTGAATAGAAGAAGTTTTAGAGTCTGAAATGTTAACAGAGGAGACATACTTTTACCCAAGTTTCTACTTCCCAAACCACTTACTGCAGGTAATGGAGGTGGATTTTATAAGTGAACTGTACTTTTCTTTTGAGCAGTTCTATGTTCTTGTCTGTCTAGAATGACTGACCATATGTATCTTAAGTGAAATATAGGACACTGCAGGCAAATACATGTATGCCATGGTCAGATAAAAACATATGTTCCTAGTATGTAACTACCCGGTATGTAATGACTGGTACTTCATGTGGTCCATGGTTTTAGCTGTACTGTAACAATGGATGCAACTCAGCCTTGGACTGCAATACTAACTATTCCTTTCATACTGATCATTGTCTGACATACAGGGACAGTTATACTTTAAAAGCTCAACTAAGTGGAAATTTGGAGTTGTCCTTTGTACCACATTGACCTCTATCTCCATATAAATGATATATTACTTTATTCTGATGACAATCGCTTTACTACACCTGATTTTCAAGGTGACCACAGCAATGACATGGCTTTTTTATGCAAATGAAGATGATAGGCCAATTCCAGGAGTAATAGAGATTTGGAAAACCTATTTCAAAATATTTATTAAGTTGTAATCAAAGTTCACTTAGGCTGCTGAATTATGCCGAAATGCAGTTACACATGCTATACAGATGGAGATAAATAGACAGATTTATAGGATGAATATTGCCCTTATTAAGGTCATTCATGTCATGACATGGCAGAAATTGGTAATGTTATTCCACACAGGTGAATTTCCATTTAAAAATTTTCGTGACTGATATTAAAACCACCGTGGTGGTCTTGTGTATTCAATACTAAGAAATCCATGTGAAGCATTGTTTACATTCTAATGCTAAGTCCTAAACTTCCAGGCATTACAGTAAGCGTATGGCTGCAGAAATGAACATTTCCAATTTCTAAATCTCATGTATAAACTGTGTAAAAGAGGGGTGAAGAGACACTTGGTGACAAGTCTATTAGGGTAAACTATATTTTCAGTACTACCCGGTACCTGTCTGCCAACCATGTCAAGTTAGCCTTGACCCCTAAAACCAATGTTGGTAAGACTGTTTAAACTACAGTTCCTGTCAATTTTGCATGGCCCATTTAGTGCCTTGCACTTGAGTCCTTAATCCAACCCTGGCCACAATGCTACACAAACAGCGGCGGATTAGGCTATTGTGTCTGAATTGGTGGGAAAAGTGCACCTTGTTTTATGTCACACCAGCTGCCAGCATTTCCACCACACTCTGTACACAAACCTGGCCAGGAGAACCCACAGTTCAATAGGCAGTGTACTTGTAAGCGCATACTAGTATTGGGGAGGGCAGAGAGTATATGTAGCCAGTTGCGATACGAGTTGTCAACAATTTACATAGAGCAATGTTTTCCTGATGCCCACACAGCAGAAATGAGTTGGCTCATAAACTACTAGTATTTTCTCTTGAGAAGTATCAGGGGATACACATGTACAAATGTATATGTAGCCAAAGAAACCAGTAAAAGTTGTCAACAATCAACATTGCACAATGTTCTCTGGTACTGACACAGCAGAAATGCTATTTTTCTTGAGTAGGCGTCTTTCCCAGTGTGAGTGGTTCAAACTTTACAGCCCGGTCTTACGCAGCTTGTACTTACTGTACAAAGCTGATGTGTTACGCCTAAAGGTGGTTTACCAGTTATGCGCAACAAACAAACAAATGATAGAATCTTTGCAATGCTGATACCTGGAATCTGGATATTGGACCACCCCCAGGCGAGCTCCACGGCAGCCAGCCCCCCTGCAGGGGGAGGGAAGAGCCACCCCCCTGCCTGGTGCTGGTGGTGCGACTCTGGGGACCCGTGCAGGACGGTTGGCCTGGCTTCGGGAGCTCCGCCCAGCTGCTGTCGCAGTAAGTCATACCCCGCGCTGCGGTCACTGCTGTACCACAGCCGATAGGCACTGGTCACCTGGAATGCCATCAAGAAATATTGTCAAGAATGTCATGAACAAGAACATTCAATTTTCTATTATTTTTTGAGGACTGACCTAATCTTCATATAGGAAGAGAAAGTTTTAGGATGTGCTTTGTATCTTTCTTCCTTATCATATATACATCTGTATATAATTGGTTCCATAGAAAAATAGTTGTTCTTAATATCCATATAAAAAAGGCAGTCAATAATACACACTAAAGAAACAAAAATTCAAGTCAAAAATATATCTTGAGCACTTTGTAGTGTGTACTGCAGTAAGTTTTGTGAACTACCAGAACTGCGTCTCTAGACAGTCCAAAGTTCCTTGTTCGAGACTAAGTATGATAAAAGTTAAGCCTGTTGACAATCAACCAATGATAACTAGTACAAAGAGTGCCATATGACATTATAACCCCTACTGTTTATACCAAAACAACAAACTGCATGTTGGTGGGAAGTTTGGTTGTTTGAACAGTTGCAATTCTTTTCACTGTTGTTGCCAAGCCAAATCAACAACTTGGTTGACACTTATCTTTTCATTCAAAATTCAGCAAAGAAAAGGCATTCAACTAAGCTACCACATTTTCACATTACAGTAACTTTTACTGTGGTCAAACAAAAGTATGCCAGCTATTCGTAGCACATGTCCAGACAACTGTACTTATTAATACAAGGTTAATTCTTTTCAACAACTTGTGACGTATGTTTTTATAGTTCGTCTGACTCTGACATCTTCCCTCATGACAGCAGGCCCATTTGTGTGCTGGTATTTCATTAAAAAAACTAGAGTTCCACGATCTCATACCTTCGCCAAATGATGTTAGCCTTTATGACTAAGAAATTATAGATGAATCCCCCTGATTGTGCGAATAGGATCCTATATTGCATCAATTATATCTGTTGATCATATTCTACACCAGAAGACAGTCTTATCTTATCAATGCATGCCATTATAGCATGTCCTCATAAATTATGCAAATGAGGTCCTTATTTGAATAAATTATGTTTAATAATGTTCACCTTCACATAACTTTCAAATATCCCAAGTATGAAATTCCAGATATTACCACTATGTAATTATAACATTTTCTCGTTAATTATGCAAATTAAGTCTTCATTTGCATAATCGATATCTGCCTGTATCTCTGCCGTTCTGCATTACATATATCACAAGCTTGAATAGTCCTATCATGGAATGCAGCTGATATATAGAATTTTCCTCATTAATTATGCAAATTACATTAATATTTGCATAATTGTAATAACATTATGTCAAGCATCACTTCAGCTACCTACATGCCAAAAATCACGACGATCCATCAATCGGTTCTTGAGTTATCCGCCTTTAAACATTTTTCAACTAATGCCCCTGCAATTCCAGAGCAAGCCGCTAGGGGGTCCAAACTCACGTCACTTGTTCCCCAGCACAAGAGCTACCTACCATCCAAATTTCGTCACCCTAGCATGTCTAGATCACGAGATATCAAAACCGGAAGTTCAGCTGCAGTACCATAACAAGCCACTAGGGGGCCCATAATCTAATCAGTTCCACGTCTCATGAAGACCTACCCACCTACCAGGTATCAAGACAATCCATCTTAGCCTTCTTGA